TAATACTCGACAATTTTGTCAACAAAAGGTGTACAAGGAGTTACTGAAGAGAGTAATTACAAAACTAGTTTCCTCGTGGAAAATGTTCAGTGGATAGTCAATTATTTTCTCTGCGAGTGTATAGAAACAAGAGGTAGAGCGATAAATAAAGAAATAGAAATACACCAAGCGAATACTGTAACCTAAGACTCTCGGCAATAAGAGGAACAAGCGCGCGCCGCGCTTTAACGTGGATAAAACAGGTGAAAACCGACGAATCCCAAAGGACTGGTCAGTCAGTAGTAACGTGCTCCAAGTTTCACGAAAGTTTTTAATCATATGAAAAGAAACAATTGTTTATGAGAAGTAATAGTTCCTACTTGCAGTGACGGCTCGTGTTTAGGTTGTACAAACCCCAGATACTCAGGAAAAATTGTATAATATGTTAGGAATATACATTTTCGATTTAATTACATTCAATATTCATGATATTGCAGCAATGTGGATGTACATGAAAATATTTTGTAATCAAAGAGCTCACTTAGAACGCTCTATCCGGTGTCTGGTGCTCTCCTAGGCAGTGCACCATTCTCGCATCTACGTTCTTTTACTGTGTTTACTCTTTGCCCCTATGCTTCGAGGTAGGCCTCTCGTTTTCGTACGGCAACGAGCCACCGACTTCGGAGCAGGGATCCGGCTGCAAAGCGCGGCGCGGCGTCCAAGGGGAATACCAATTTTCTGTTCTCGTCTTAGCTGCAACTTAATTTTATGAATTTCGCGTGTTATTAAAATAACACTATTTCAGTCAATTATTTACAGTTTTGAATGCATTATTGGGGAATTTATTTTTATTTGCTATTAGGTTTGTTGATTCATAATATAAACTTGATGAGTCTTTTTTTTAAGTTGGCTGTTCTCGAAGGAATTCCCTTGACTCTGGGAAAATGTCCTTGCGAATACAAGAGTGTGGATCTTTCATTATTACAATATACAGGTGTCTCGGGTGGAAACGTCGATACTTCGCAAAGAAGCTCTTAAGATAGTTTTAAGCATATTTTCTCTAATAAACTACTTGGGTATTCCGAATGGTTGAGCCGCAATAAGCACTCAAAAGTTTGTTTGAAAAAATGATTTCTAGGAAAATATTTACATTGCAAAAGCATAAACACAATACACAAACATGTAAATTATTTATCATTTACAGAAGAAATGAATATATTTGTTCAGAAAGAACTTGTGCTACAGAATGTCACAGACTTTCCCGTATTCGTTTTCTATTTACTTTGGTCTCGGCTAACTATTCGAACATATTTTCGATGTTTGGACGTTTCCCACCCGGACACCATATCGCCGGACGAATGGCTCAAGAAGCTCGCTGATTAATGGAGCGGGTCGCCTCATGTCGTTCCACGCGTGTCTATATAGAGCGCGCGCGAATTTCGAAATTGGCTGTGCCCACAAACCTAGTTTGTTATTGTTTTGTATGAATTCTATTATCGTCAGTTTTCTCAATGCAGGACGAATACAAAATCTGGAGGGCCCACTGGAAATCAAAGACAACTATTTGCGCGTGGGGTGAACGTATCTGACACGGATACTACTCTTAAAATTATGAAAGTAATGTTTATATATAGATTTTGATTGATCTTAAGTTTTAATAAATGGACATGAATTGTGCTTACGTTTTCTTATAGACTGATGTTCTGAATTGAGGAAATTCCATTCCCCTCACTCGATGGTGCTGCCTTCCCCAGTTTGTTGGGCTTCAGCCGCCACTTGTGTTCGTGAGCATTTGCTCGGGAGTGCTTTCTCAGTTTCATTCATATTGCCCATTGACGAAAGTGGCAAATGTGTGAATCGACGCAATTGGTGTGCGAATCTGCCAATATATCTATCAGGAATTTTGACCGCTCAAAAGAATTATATATTGGCATTACTAAGAGGAACGTCATAAGGTGTGTTTTCACATGAAATGACTTACTTTTGTGTAAGCATCTTTGAGCGATGTTCCTTCTCTGTATCCCTCCCTACCACGTTGTGATAAGTCTAAAAAGGTATTGTCAAAATAAAGTTTACTTGCAGTTTCATTAGCTAGTTCAATGAAAAAGTCAGGTAATTTAATTTTACCACGTTAGGATTATTTGTTTGGTATAATTCAATTGAGTGACTCGTGGATAACCATCGTCTACCGCGGGGCAACCGGTTTCAACTTCCTCTCCGTCGTCCAATGCGATGTCGCCGTGCGTTCGAGATGGGTGACAGTTGATGCTCTTCGAACACGATTGCGTTTCACGCACGTTTGGGTACTCAAGAGAAAGATACGTGAATTATTCTCGTTCATTTGTTGATTCATTGGTCATTTGAAATGTATTCTTTCGATGAAATCCTTACTATATTTGTATTTATTTAAAGCTGCCTTTGCCTCTGACGTAAATCAGCTGTTACAGTGGCATCCAATCAGCAGGTCAATCCAATTGGATGGACTGTAACAGCTGAAGACCTCTCAGAGGCAGCTGAAGACCTGTCATCGCAGTATATGTACCGGTCAGTGGCGTAACGCTCGGGTTCGCAATGTGGGCAGCCCCTGATAAAAGAGGGTCTAGTTTTACGGAATATTTTTATTATATAAGTTACTAATGATTACTTGCTATACACTTTTGTGAAGGAAGCCGGGCTAAAAATGTTCCACTCTTTTCATACGCTACGGATACCGGTCCTCAGTTAGTATGCTGTTGGCAAAGGTTACTGATATTCTCAATGTAGTAGAGTACCAATCGCTTGGTATCCCATTTGCAAGGTCAGCAGGCTGATTCTAGAGAGTTGGAAGGGATCGCTTTTTGTGTTCTCTGAAGACCTGCTTCGCCTTCGAGGTTGTTTTACGCGATCCATCTATGGACAATGGTGGTTTTTGCTAATAGAATTTTTGATAGGCTAAAAAATATACAATTCAACTGATGCATGCTGTTAAGCTTTATTGCATGAGTACATGTTTTGAAAATGAGCGACGTTAGGAGCGAGTTTTCAAATTTGTACGAAAGCAATAAAGCAACATAAACGAGTTGCATACGCTATTTTTTGTTTAACAGCATTATAAATTTTTGAATCAAACATAATTTTGCGAAACAAACAACTTTCTTGTGACGTCTCGGATATTTGACATCTGTGCGAGAAAACTGTGGTGGGCCACAGTTTTACATCCGACGATTTTCTCGCTGCTATTGGTTGACTATGTGATGACGCAATCATTCGTGCTGTAAATGCTAATACATCATCATTTGTGCCGTAAACTACCTTTTCATGAACGATTTCTTGCAACACAAAATGTTGTTTGTAATGCTGGTAGACAAAAAAATATGTTAATAATGGTTTGCTGTTATTGTAATACTCTTTGATTGTAATGCTCCATAACAAAGAGTATTATAAATTATTGTGAGCTGTTTAGTAAAGGAAAGTTATTTAATTATGACTTTAGAGAGGTCTGTGAATTGCTATTGGCAAGGAAAAGCAGACTTCCGAAAATCTAGTACTAAAATTTAGAGTAGACTAAAACTTCCTGATTAGAAGATGACGAAGTGTTTATTTGACAAGTATAATAAAAAATAGTCTTTTTTTATGTTTTCAAAAAAAATAGTGCTTTCGTAACAAGTGTAAAACTCATAACTAGCCCTACGACAGTACATACTTTCCAGTATTATTTGTGAAAGTTACGTAATATATACATATAGGGTTAGTCAATAAAAATATCCACCTCGAAATATTTTCTGATGGGTTCAAGATACTTAGATGAAATTTTCACCAAACGATTCAGGATATAAGGGCTTATAAGTACTAACACTTCAGGCGTTCAAAAACTCGTAAGCAAAGCACGAGAGTTTCGAAAAAATACATATCTTTAATTTATTTGGAAAGTTTAAATGAACATGGTTTTCTTCCTTTGAATTTAGTGCACTGTGCTTCATTTTCACAAATTTTGCGATGCGAGCGATGAGGATCATGAAGTAAAAGACATTCTCCAACGCTTATGAATCGCGTGGCAGAAGCATAATTTAAATGCTTTAATGAATTATTAGTGCAGCGGACATTCTAAGTTTCCGTAATTCAAAATTATGAGAAACTACTATTTAAAAAAATATTGATGAAATTTTTTAAAGGTTCATATTAAGGAATATATTCCATTAGGAAATACAAATACTTTAGCTTCAAGGAAGGTGTAGGACATACGAATTTAAACCTTTTTTGAGCTATCCAGATGTTTTAATGCGAAATGGACCTTCGTTCTATTACTAAGCGAACTTGGAGAAATATTGGGTTATTTTTGAGAAATTCATGTTTTCGTGTTTTCAAATGTCACAATTTCACTCAAAATTCCTCGAAAATACCATATGCTGAAAACATTTCACGAAATTATTTAAAGATATCATTTTATAACAGATTTTAATGAGAGAAAAAATCTATCTTCAATGATGTAGTCGAAAGAAAGGGGTTTAACAAATGTGAAACCGTTGGTAATCTGAAAATTCAGATGTTTTTAATGAACATCTGATATTTACCTTTATAGAAGCCCACCATTTGCTGCATGAAAAATTTGAAGTACAGTTAAAAGGCAAAAGTCCGATTTTTATTCAAATATCTCTGAAAATTCATTCCAAACGCCCGCCCATCTTTATCCGGAGGTAATTTTTCAACTTATGACTGAAGTATTATAGTAGGATACTAGTTGCAGTATTACAACTTTACGTAGCCCTCTCAAATAAAACGAGAGAGAAAGTGCTGTTGTAGCGGCTCTAGAGTTAGAGTTTTGAAATCCTTTGCATTTAAATTCTTGGCTATCCGCGAGAAGCCGCGTCGTTGGCTGAGAGGCCGACGTTTCGCCTGACATGTCGCAGACTTCCTCAGGGCAGAGACGCGGCGTCTCCCGGGTAGCCAGGAATTTATGGATTCGAGCCGCGGAAGCTTACGTGTGCAGCCTTCGCATTTAGCTACCAAGAATAACCAACTGACTGTGCCTTCTGCGTCCGCAGGGTTGTGGTCGTCCTTCCGGGCGCTGAGCGCGCAGGCTGCGCCGGAGTCCGATCATCACAACATCATCAAGAACACGGAGAAGGCCACCGGTGAGTGATGTGTTGAAAGAAGCCTGTACAACCAGAGTGAACTAAGCAACATCTATTTTTTTTTCTTTCGGGAAAGAACAATATACTGTGTTTTATTATAATTTAGCAATCGTGAAAAATATATCAGACACAACGAAATGTGTTGCGAGATAAAGTTGGTGAGAGATTACCCATTATCACAAGAAAGTGGAGGAATATATTGTTAACATCTTTAGCGCGGTAAAATAAAAATTTTCTGAAGTGGCGCTTAGTTCATTATGGCTGTACAAGAGGAAAATGCTAATGAGACACTGTAAAACTGTTTATGAAAGACGTAATTGCCTGAAATCATATCGTCTTTTGAAACTAGAGACATTCCTCGAATTTATAATTAAATAATTACTCGTAATTTGCGTCCCAAGATGTGTATGTGTGTTCATTGTTTTAATACTATTTTGATATTTTTATCTATTTATTCTAATAATTATCGATAGCTTGCGCTGTGCATCACGACTAGCGCCAACTGATGTGCGGGCGATTTTCGTGAATCTTTGACCTGGAGGCTAAACCCTGTGTTCTCGTTGTTCTTGGTTAAGATAATTTGCCGGCATGTTGTAGTCGGAATTCAGCAGTCTCTCCCCCGCTCTGTTAAGCGGCGTGTGCCTGTCACACGTTCTTTATTGTTCAGGGAAGCCGTTCTCCTGTACGGCCTTCGTCGTCAGAAGGAAAGATGATCGTTCACTAGCCGCTTGGTGCGAAACGATCCATTGTGGTTGCCACAGCCCACTACGCAATTGGTTTCCAACGGCACGCATTGTAATCGCCGGTCGAGCTTAACCTTTCGCGAACTATCCTTACGCGAATTCGCGCAGTACGACGCTAGGCGTACAATAACCCCTTTTGTGTTGCCGCGATCAGCATGTCGCTATGTGCAATATTGGCTTTATCGCTACGTGCAGTATCATGTATTCTCGACCGTCCGTTAATTGCGGTACACTTTGTGCGCGGGTCAAGAAATACGTTGTAGATGTTTGCGGATAAATGTTGCAGTTCTGGCAACGGAACTGCGATAGTCGATTTTTTAGAGACTCACCAATGGAATCGAACTAGAAGTACACTTATTTCTAGAATGGAACGGCTAAGAGGTCGGTGTTGTCACTGCAGCGACTCTGAGTAGGAGGCCCTAGGAGTTGCAGCACTAACGGAATTTTCAATACTAGCGTAATAGCTAGGTCGAATTCAGCTGCTGTGTCTGATCAGTATTTTCCGTGTTTTCTCCAGTCAATAACAACTGCATGCCGGAGCAGTACCCTATCAAACGAGCTACAGACCGCGCGCGATATTTCCTTCCTGCCTTGTCCTCTCCTCTTCGCTCTCTCTCTCTCTCTCTCTCACACACACACACACACACACACACACACACTTGTATGCACTACGCTGTGATGCACCGGGAGCTGAGATCTTGTTCCGGTCGAGGCGGTGCTCCGCTGGTGGAGATACCTGGAGGAGGCAATGCCGGCGCTGGATCTCCGGGTGAGGAACATCACTTTCTCCCGTGGAATTACACGCACCAGCCCCAGAGGACTAATGACCATAGCCGTTGGCGAGCTCGGAAACAACTGTGAATGAAGTACGGCTAGCAAGGAGGCACCGGAGTGACCGCGCGCGGGGCTGCCTGGCTCGGCGCCGCCGCGGGCCATCGCCCACTTAGCGGAAGTGCTTTATTCAGAGCCGTGGAAACGGGCGGTCGCGCCCGCACCCGCACCCGCACTTGGAAGATTGCGCCGGGCAGACCCTTTAAAATGTTTCTGAAGGCTTCAAAGTTATGTCTTACGTGTCACTTTATTTTGATACTAACAATATAAGGTATTTTTAAGATTCAATTTCCATTCAGAGTTCAAAGTTGTTCACTTGTTTTCGACAGTTTGGTGAAATAATGAATTTGCAGACAGCCGTGTACAAATTAGTACTGGCTGTGACATAGTAGATTAATAAACTAAACATCGTGTATGAAACAAAATCAGTAATTGAAATGGAACTTATAAAAATTTTTCAAATGGAATCTATAAGAGTTTCAATTAAGTAAATTCAATCTATGATAATCGAAGACGAGCCATCAATACAAATGATTTATTCTGGGACTAGCGTTCTGAAATATTTTAGCAACAAGACGCGGAAACCTTGGCTCATCGCGGCTTCCTCCTCTCCATTTTATCGGAGAGGGGTGTCATGAAATGAAACGACTAATCATGCCTTAAAGCCTACTTCAATAGAATCGGTAGTGGTTGAATGATATTTGAGGTTTAATTCATGTGTGCGCCGTAGCTTCATCACACACCATTTTCTCGTACCAGGGGTTTTGAAGGCTCCGAATGTAACATGTTCATACGTGTTAACGCATGTGTTAATGCTAGGATGTTATCGCACTTGACTATCACATCCAGGAGTAGGTGTTATAAGGGCTCTTAACTTAAAAATATACAGCTCCATGATACGCGTCATGTCTGACGTCACTGCCTCTGTGACGTCAGTCTCTTGAGAGATGTTGATGCCACTGTGACGGCAGAGTCGCACGAGACGAGAGCTGTGGGGGCAGTGGTCCGTGTATGACGTAGGGCAAGGTGGGTGTTCTAATTGTGTAACGTAATCGATATCTCTGCGACTTCACGTTATGATAGGGAGGAGGTGAAAAATAGCTTAGGAAAGGATGGATGGGCAATGATAGGCTCCAGACGTCACAATGCCATGAAGAGAACATATGTAGCATGTGGGGAAGGACTGGCCGTTACGACAGCGGTACCGACGTTAAAGAAAACCCAAATACGGTCATGGCACGATAGCGTTTAACACCAACCTGATGTTACAAGAGAAGTGTTATCGTAACATTAACTTTAGAGTTCATATTAATCAACAGTTCCCAGGCCTTTCGCTTCTAGAATCAAATGATTATTGAGCATTCGATAAATGGGGCTTCCTAAATCCTGTGGAATAGGAGGCTCCGCTAACAAAAATGTCTAATTTTTTCAAATATTGCTAATCTCGCTCTTTTTTAAAATTTATTTTTATTTATTTTTAACATTTACTCATCTTTCAACTATTTATAGTTAAAATGATGGGAATGGATTCTGGAACTCAAGAAAACGTGCGCAGTTAATTTTCTCTATACGTCGTATACAGTTTTTACTGCTTCTTTTTTTACTAAATAAATCTAAATCTAACACTTCAAGTTCGAAGTGGTGGATATGCAGAGGCTTATTCACTATACGGTGATGCACTTAATATGAAGATGTTTATTATCAATTTACGAGTAATTGTATTGGTACGTGGAATTACGGGAACAAAAGCATCGAACCGTAAGTTACGGCAATATCGTAATGTCGGTTAGTGTATTTCGGACTGTCGTTCATTGAAATTAAATACTTTGAAATGTTGTTTATGAAGGGTTAGTCTCGTTAGTGAAGAAGGCAGTTCGTCGTAAGCAAGCAAGTGAAGGCCGTATCTCACTTTATTGCTACTCTAGAAACAACCCTGTAATTAAACCTAAGTAATTTTCCGTGTACCATAATTTAGACTTTGTAGTTCAAAATGGAAGCTCGTCAAGGCGAAATAATTACAGAAAGTAAGGAATTCGGTAGGTTCTCTTTATGTGCTTGGATATTAATTGAATCAAGGAATGTTTCATTATGCGTTAAAATGATGAATACGAAAGTGATAGAAACGCGATACTTAGGAAAACTTTTGTCTGGAGTAAAGACAATCAAGTAGTTAAAAAAATGCACATATATTTAATTTCTGGTACATCGCGTTGTGTATCGGCATATGTCGCGTTGGTGCGTCAGAAAGTCTGCGTGTGGGACTAGAGTACGCTACGTGAGGTCGCAGAGCGAGGTTTGGCGTAGGCGTGGCGGGGTGAAGCGGGGCGGGGGCGTCGCGTTTAAACGAGTTGGGTTAAATTCTTGTTTAATGGAAGCGCTCGCGGCGGCGAGAGCGGCGGGTTAGGCTGCTGTGCCTTAACCGTATCCAGTGGCCGGTGCTTTGAGCCCCGCCCCGCGCCGCAGTTAACGAGGGGATTTGCTGCTCGCGCGTCCATAATGAACGCCCTCGCGGCGCTCTCTTCCGCCCGCTCTCGCCTCGAGGCCCTGCGAGGCACGCGTTCTGTTCTCACCCTCCGCCCTCCGCTCTTCGCTCTCTGCTCTGGGCCCTAACCTACCTCACTCCTCTGCTGGGCACTCGCTTCGCCCTTCTCTCGTGCGCCGTCCGCCCTCGGCGCCTGCCCTCGCCCGCCCTCCGACAGCTACTGCGCGTCCCGCGCCTCTCGACGCCTGCTTGACGCTCTACTCCACCCTATCTCCACGCCTTCGCACCTGTTGCGTGCCCGATCCCTCGGCCCTCTTGCCCGTTCTCCTGCTCATCCGTGTGCGTTTTTTTGTTCTCTTTCGTTTGACAGTTGCCGTTCGTGTTGCCCGTTGCCCGCCCGTTCTGTCCCTTTGCGAGTGCCCGCGTAGCAGTTTTGTGTGCGTCCTTCACGCGCTCACTGAGTCTCGCGCTTTCCTTCCTCTCTGTTGGCACCTTGACCACGTGGGTGGGTGGTGGTGGGGGGAAGGGGAACTTCGCATTCGCGACGATTCTAGTGAAACATATGCAATGTAATCGACTACTTTTTCGTTGCTTCTTTTCTAAAACCACGTTATGTCATACAATCTTAATAATATATCAATATGGACGTGACTGTTTCATTAATCTGTTGCACGTGACTGATCACTCCCAAATTTTGGACAAGCGTTTCTGGGCAGCATAGACATTTTTTTGGCGATTCAAGATATCAAAAACATTCTGCAACTTTCGAAACCCTCCAAGTGTTTTGTTTTGTTTTGAAGATGACGCAACCCGCTGTGAAACTAGGCGGACTGTGTCTATCGGAGTGGGCGTAGCAGGCTGGGCCCTTAAGTTAATGATTTCCCCCCCAAAATAGTCGAGCAACGCCGGGTAATAATATAGTTGAATATATTTGGTGTAATCAA